CATTTTTTTCGATTTTCTTGTGACAGCCGTACCCCAGCACTTCTACCATTATCAATAGGTGACCAGACTAGCGCACCCACTATATCTTTGAGGTCTTGCGCGCTATCGCAAAATACTGATCATTGTGATAGCAGAGCATTATAACTGCGTAGAACATCTCTTTTTCGTTTAAAATGGAGGAATGCTTAAGGCGGGGGTGGGGGGGGGGGGGCTGTGCCTGAGGACCAGTGGGTGAATAGGCTTGAATATTGCTTGAGGATTCCTCAACGGCACGTCGAGGATTTTCGCCTGATCCTTTACGTTCTCGCGCGCGGATATTCACTCTCGCCACCCGCGAGCCGTCTGTGCTCTCCGCGCGTACATTCACTATCGGCTCTACTCTCGCACAGCAGAGAGCGATGGTCGAGGAATTCCTCGACCGTTATTCACCTGGCTCCAGGATGGGTGCACAATTTTCAGTCCCCTGACTTTCTTGGCCTCCTCCTAGGCTTAGTTCTAGACGTGATGGCCCCTGTATCTTGAGATAGCCCCAGGTCTTGTTTTATATGGGGAAAATTTACATATGGGCGTTGAGGTTGATAGGGGAACATTTATTGGGTTCAGCCCTAATGTTTCGACAGAATCGTCGTTTTCTGAGGGTCAGGGTTTCACCGCTTTTGCTGGGATCAGAAAATTTAGTTAGCAACAAATGGTTCGCAGTGTTTCTGGCACCCGATGTCTACGACTACGATATCACGTGGAGATTGGCCGGCAGCGAGCCAATTCCTGAAGAGCAGCGCTCTCATTTGCCATTTGACGAGGGCTCTTGTCCGCGCAGCAGTGCATTACGCCGATTAGGTCGATATGTATGGTAGTCATGTCCCTGTGCGGGTGTGTGTGGTGACGTGTTCGGTTGGCTTTCATCGTCTCAATGGCTCCGTTTGATTAGCGCTGAATCTGCTTAGAATTTTGCGCGTAATTGGTCTCAATTGAGCTAATTACCTCGGGGCATGGGTAATGCTATTCCGATCAATAACTCGGGCACAAAATGTGAAATAGAAGCCTAGCGGAGTAGGCTTCGGAAGGTCGCTTCTTCATTTCACGCTGAATAGCACTGTCTTTTCCATTCTTCATCGACTCACCTTGATTGTCAATTATTTATTATTTATTTATTTATTTTATTTGGATGCACGCGTAGGTGCGCTATACCGAATACAACACAGTACAGCTTATACAGAATTAAAAAGTTCGATGGACCTTAACGCGAATGGAAAAAAAACTACAAATGAACAGAGAAAAAAAACAAAGTTTTGTTCCATTGTCCAAGTTGCTTTTAGATTGTATTCAAAATCACCTTTGTAGGAATCTGGGTAGGCGGATGGCGCTAGGGATAACGCCACTCCTTGACGACTATGGCATATATGTACAGAATCCGAAACTGAATTTTCGGATGTTAGGTATTCCCTAGCCCTAACAATTCAGTTTCGGACCCGCCTGCATAAAAATTTCGCTCTAGAACGCATAGAAAGTTACACCTATCTCGAATAGTTTGTAAGAGCAATTTCAGTAGCAACTTGCAATCATCCAACAAAAAGTTTTTTTTCCAAACTGTTAAGGTCTTGTAATCAAAATGCATTATAGGTTGCAGTGACATTAGTAAGTGTGAGAAAAAAAAAAGTTAGTTACTGTCTCTTAGTTAGTTACTGTCTCTGTGATTCTTCAGGAAGCGCTGATAGTATTTCATGATAGATTTATACAATTTTCACATATTAAAGGTCGAATAAGGTTTGTTAATTTTGAACCACAATTTTAGAAACTCTGGAGAAACGAAGAAAAAAAAAACGAAAAGGAAAAGAAACGTTAACAGAAGTTCCGTTTATAGCGATCCTTCATCGATATGTACTTCTTCTTACTTTTTTTCGTTTACATGATCTTTAAAGGCCAAGGGATTGAAGCTCCTTGAGCTGACTAGTCCCTCTGGGATGCGCCATTCTTTCGACTTCTATTTAACCCATAACGGACGGCCAGTGTATTTTTCGCGTGCGCCACCATGTGGCGCACGCCGCCACCCAGGGTAGGGTTTATGTAGGCTTATGCGAACAGCAGGGTTAAGACGGGGCTAAAGTAGGTGTCCGTGTCTCATCATCCAAAAGAAGAGATTTCCGTTGACGACAAGTTCGTAACCCGCCTTTCCGCTCTAAAACTAGGGTGCAAAGAATGAATGGAAGCTGTAGGTGACATTATCGAAAAATGCGAAACAACAACCCGAGCAAGGATGTGGCTATATTTAGGGGAAGGGGTCTCGGGACGTGCGAACCATGGGTAAGCCACCCATCAAATAGTAAACTTATGTAAATTAAGACAAAATGTATGTAAAATTTATTGTAGGTTTGTCAAAAATCCAGCCGTCCAGGTCCTGGGAAGATATGTTATTCCACATTGCTGAGAGTATATATGGGTATATTAAGATTGCTAGAAACATTCCAAAAACAAAAGAAATAATCGTGCGCCACCTTGTGGCGCACGCCGTCCGTTATGGGTTAAAATCGTAAGCAGTTGGAAAGGGCGTACAGCCAGTTTCTGCGCGGCTGCGGCCTGTGTGATGACAGTTTATTTGATAGTTTGCTTTATTTTGGCAGATTATGCCGATGTCGATCGAAAGAGCTCAAAAAGATGGAATTGCTAAGCATCCTAAGGAGGATTAGATCCTGCGGGTCTGGGCAGCTGCGATCCCTTGATCACTGCGCTGTCTTCGCCTCTTTTATCTGTTTACGTTTCTGAATTCAGTTTTCTTGGTTGCTCTCCATCTCAGTTCACTTCATATGTTTCCAATTTGTTTTTTTTTTTCAAGTTTTTCGAAATAATAGTTTTCAAAATAACAACATGGTCGGCATCGTCGGCGCAGCTAGTTTACGCCGTGTATGTGTCTTACGGTCTGTGCTTTTTTAAATTGCTTCTACGATCCCTCTATTCTCCCCAACACCCGTTTTCTCCAAGCTTCCACGACTGATGTTCCTGGGGAACAGTCAACAGGATCGTCCGGTCGTCGCGCCGCCGCGTGCGGCCACTTGCGCGGGGTCGCGACGCTGCATTTTCCGAAGAGCGCGGGATTTTGAATTTCACGGTGGGAGCAGTTGGTTAACGTTCGATACTAAAGGGATGGACCTGGTTGGCCTAAGTGTGAAATTCAAATTCGAACTGGACTCTCGTCACAGAAACTCGTCCACTGCAGTTGCGACCAAAACATAGCGCGGTGATCCGATTCTGTTGAAACACACCAGTATTCCTATGTTGTTGAATCTGAAAGCATCTCGGCACACTTTCAATTCCAATGGAAAATTTCGATGTGGGCGGAGGCGGGGCCAGGAGAAGAGGGGACTAAGTGCTTGAAGACAAAATTCGCAATTCGTTTTCAGAAATTTTCCCGAATTTCTCTGAGCGGTGAATATTTTCCCATTTCCCGAAGAATGTTTCTCTTTTCATGTCTTTTAGGAAAACGTGCTACCTTACCAAAATCCTGAACGCCTCAAAAATAATAAAATAAAACTCTCTCCCTCCCGATGTTTGGTATTCGCGAGGGTTTGCAAGAATAGTCATCTTTTCAAAGATCTAGAAATTATTCTCACACGTTCAGATCCAAGCTTGAGGGAGATTGCATACCAAATTTCGAGGAAGAATGTGAGCCAGAAAAATGAGGGGTTTTTTTCGGGGGGGGGGAGAAGGAAGCTTCAGGGTAGGTGGGACATTTTTTCGTCTTCTAGAGCTCACCTGGGAGGAAATATAGTTCGTTCAGAACATGGAAAAAGGAAAAGAACCGAAGAAAAAACACAGAAATGAAACTTCTGGCTGTCACACAGGACTTGTGGTTTTTGACATGATTTGTTTCATTAACAGCTGGCCCTTTAAATGGTAATTCAATTTTTGACATGTTCTTATTTCATTAGTTCCTTGGAAACTCTCATAGACGTTACGGTGTTCGGCATAATTTCTTTTGCATTGCCTGCGAATGCCCCTCCTTATTTCTAGACCCCAATTCGACATTCCTTTTGTGAATTGCATGCGTGTCATACAGTAACACTTCCAGCATTCGCGTTACTCCTCTTACTCTAGACGGACTTAAAGGCACATTTCATGACCTTAGAGGCAGCGATTACGATAAAAGGGAGCGCATCGGGGAAGCATATGCACCACACGAATCAGTTACTTGGCTGCCAGGAAGCGAGGTGTGGCGCTTTCACGACGAAAGGTGCGCTGGTTGCTGAGCAGGACTTCGAAAGCACTCCGCCCCCAAAAGCGATCCGCCCACTAGTTTAGTTGGTGATTTGGACGAGCTGCGTTGCCAGCAGCGGCACAACTGGAGCAACTCGATTGAGCGTGGTTTGGCATGGTGTTACCAAACGCGTTGCGCTGAACTCGTCATACGCTGTTACCTGTTCAACCAACGGGCAAAAAAGTAGGTCACGTTTCACAATCTTTGACGGATTTCTCCCTTTTTTTTCGCCCCGGTCCCTGCATTGACCCCACCGGCGTCTCTTCCCACAGCCTTTTTTGAACACTATCTTTGGACTTCGTGTCTCTGCCATTGAAGAATATGCCCAACCAATGAAAAGTTGTCTACTCATCAGAGAAAAGAACAAAAAACCTTTTGGCTTGGTTGATCCCACTTCGGAATGCGACATGTATTCATCTCTTGTTCAAAGCCATAACTTCGGGTGCCCGACAGGAAGCCCGTCCCGCAGTAAGAAAGCAGAGTCAGCGAACAGTCCCATCGCGCTGTAGTTTTCGCGTCAAGTTTAATAGAGTGCCCCATTGCCCAGCACGCGCTGCGAATCGTCCGCTGACTCTGCCTTCTTGCCGCGCGATGGGCCTCCTGTCGGGCACCGGATAACTTTTGATGGGATTTTACCCACGTTCATCCAATTCAATGATGAAGCACCATGAAAATTATCAAAAAACTGTTGTCATCAAATTCTGCTCAGGATTTGTTCCACAAAGAAACGCTGATCCACGGTAATCCTAGGTCACTCCTGCGTTGGCTTTGTGTTTGGATGCGTTTCCTCTTCTTCTGTAGCCGCTTCTGGCACCACTGGTCGCGACTGCGCTGTTGTAGCTGTTGCCATTTCTTCTGCCGTTGTTTTCGGTTCTGGCTTTGTATTTGGATGCGTTTCCTCTTCTTCTGTAGCTGCTTCTGGCACTGGTCGCGACTGCGCTGTTGTAGCTGTTGCCGTTTCTTCTGCCGTTGTTTTCGGTTCTGTTGGTGTAGTCTGAGGGTGGATGCATTCTACAGGCGCTTTTTTGTAGTACTGCCCCTTTTCTACGACTTCTTTCATCCATTGCGACACCTCAAAAGACAGAATTGTTGAGACTGTGTCGCTCCTGTAGACGCTGACATTCAATGCATATTCTATGCAGAAAAGCTTTGAAAACATCACCGGTGCCGTACCTTGTCACAATCGGTGTGCAAAATTGAGAAAGTGAAAGCAAAATTGCCATCGACGTCTGCTGAGCTGAGATTAGCGAATTTTCCCAGCCTATTAGAGTACTCCTCGATCTGAAGCGAATTTCGAGACCAGAGTGTAGGTCTAGATTATGGAGAAGAGAGGAAATCGTCACTCACACGTGTTGCAGGGAAATAGCCCATGTATTGTGGGACCTTTTCCTTATCGTAGTCAACGATGGTGACTAACTTGATATTCGCTCTTTGTTTGCGTGGTACAACATATGTATTCGCACCAACACCCATATGCGGTGCCGGCACTGGTTGACAGGCCTTAAAATTCGTCTCATTTGGCTGTCGAGCTCGCCTCAAGTCGCTACCTACGAGAACTTACCCGGGTAACTCCAACAACGAGTAACACGAAAAGGAACCGTTTCATGTTTGAAGACCGATGTGATGATGATCAGTCGACCGTTGCGACCCTTATATCCCTGCCACATGGCTTTACGATCATTCGAATATCTTGATTCATATGTTTTTATTGTTTATTGATAAGTTTCCTTATGCCATATCCACAAAATTTGAATTTCATCGCTTTTGGACGAAATTTACGATTTTCAATTATTTCGTTCTTATGTCGCTCAATCTGGCATACTGTCATCGATTTTTGTGTTTAGAACAGAATAGATGAATGTTTTTTTCAGTCAAAGTTTTACGCAGATCTCTATAGGACCATTTACAGAGGCGGGGGGGGGGGGGGCAAAAAAAGACATTTTGCCCATGTCGCACTTCGGCCCTTTTTTCTTCGCAGAGATTGCCGTCGTTGACGGAAGTTCCTCAGCAAAGTATTCCCCTAATGCCTCTAACGCAGGCCCTCCTTCACTGCCCTCACCGTCTTCAGAATATGACGTCATCTGTCACCGTCGTCAAGCTCAAGGAGGCCTACCGTAACTGCTTCAGCCTGAAGCTCTTACATAATTTCGTGAATCGATTCAATGTTGGATAGTTTTCTAGAGGCATTAGCTCCCACAAGCCCCCTCGAAACTCGCTTTTCAGTAAAGGTCGTTATGGTACATGATCTTTCGAAGACCCATTGAGCTTGACCAGCGCATCATGTTTCAAAATGCTGAAGCAAAATGTCTTTTTTATTGCCCCCCTGTATAGTGCGTTGTTGAAGTAGAAACCCCCGTCAATGCTAATGCCACCCCTTGATTTTTCAGTTCTCTGACTTGGTTGGAACTTTTATAAATCGGCCCAGCAACCATCGTTTTCCGGGTCTTTCAGGACATGGAGTGTTTTTTCAAAAAGATTTCTGAACATTGTAGAGGCTCATGTGAGGAACACAGAACCATGGTCCATTTTTCCTGAACGCCCCAGGAATGTCAAAACAGCGGGGAAGAAATGGTCCAAAGTTCGATCCTCCGTGATGACAAATTTTTGCAATTTATGTTGGCGCCTCCAAAATTGCCGCAGAGCACGAAAATGACATCTGTTTTCGAAGATGGCGCCATTTAAATTGACACAACGTATTAAGAGTTTGATGGACTTGATGAAACTGTGCAAGCGTACTGCTAAAAGCCTTACAGTCATGGGACATGGAAGTGGGCCTCATATGTCTTGCATCCGGCTTCAATCTGGAGCCAAAAGGGAGTGGCCACCAGAACGATGGGTTTGGTGGGGACAGGACAAGAGGGAGTGTACTGAGCAGGGAGAAGTTACTGTGGAATGTAGTGGTGTTCTTGATTACAGCAAGTCTCAGAGACAACACGAGGGTGACTTCACGCGAGGAAGAATCCCGGGAAACTGGAAGAAGGAAGATTTGTAACGAGTGTGGTCCAGGAGTTTGTGTTGCTCACAGCATTGTTTTGTGCGCATGAGAAGCAATATGGACTGCAGCCACTG